CTCCAGTCTGGGTGACAGAGTGAGACTCCCAACTCAAAAAAAAAAAAAAATCACTGTTCAGCGCTCAAGTACATTGACATCATCCCACCAACCTGATACATATGTAGAATAAGGATCAAGGGAATTTACCAAACTTTAAACAAGAAAAATACTAAGACAAGCAGATGCTAAGTCAAATAATTTTTTCTTTTTGAGTTGGAATCTTACTTTGTCGCCCAGGCTGGAGTGCAGTGGCATGATCATGGCTACACAGCCTCGACCTGCTGAGCTTGGGCAATCCTTCCACCTCAGCCTTCCAAGTAACTGGAATCACAGGCATGTGCCACCACGCCTGGTTAATTTTTTTGATTTATTGTAGAAACGAGGTCTTGCCAAGTTGCCCAGGCTAGTCTCGAACACGTGGGCTGAGGCAATTCTCTCATCTCAGCTTCTCAAAGTGCTGGGATTATAGGTGTGAGCCACTGTGTCAGGCACTAGGACAATTTTTAAAATACAAGTCTTAGCAGGGCACAGTGGCTCACACCTGTAATCCCAAGACTTTGGGAGGTGGATGAGAGAAGATTGCCTGAGCTCAGGGGTTTGCGGCCAGCCTGAGCAACATGGTGAGACCTCATCTCTACAATAATTAAAAAAATCAGCCTGGCATGGTGGCACACACCTGTGGTTACAGCTACTTGGAAAGGTTAAGGCGGAAGCATCACCTGAGCCCATAGGTTAAGGCTGTGGTGGCTGTGAGCATGCCATTGCACTCCAGCCTGGGTGACAGAGTAAGATTCTGACTAAAAATAAATAAATAAATAAAATACACGTCTCATTTTGTGACTGTAAAAGATCAGCAGTGTACTTTACCTTATTAATATCCCACAGAACCAGTCTGCTCTGCTGTTTTGCAAACTCATAGGCAGACAGCCTGCCTATGCCATGTCCAGCTCCAGTGATGAGAACGATCTCCCCAGTCACAGATTTTCTCCTCCTGGGAATGAAGAACTTCACCAGTGACTCCAAGTAGGAGTAGATGATGATGAACAGAAGCAGGAGCATATCCAGGACAGTATTCATGGTTCTGCTCTGTCCTCCTTTGTCTGGCTCAGTTCTTATACAGTCCGGAGAGAGATTGTCTTCACAGAGCTCCAGGTAAGAGCTTTGGGCAGGTGTTCATGGGACTGCTGGAGAGAAATTGGCTTTGGAGGTAGGTTTTGTCCACGTGTTCTAATGGGTTGACACACTTCGAGTTTTTGAAGCGATGCCAATTGCTAGCAACAGCTTAGCTCAGGTCAAGAGAACCCAGAGAATGTGCTCTCTGGACTTGCTTATCGGAAAAAAAATGTGTACCATATTTCACCTTAAAGTTTCACCCCTAGAAATAATTCTGGAGATATTGCATCAGTTAATGAACTGTTGACATCTGTCTTTCAATTGTTTCTTTTTGATTTTTTTCTAAATAAAGAAAAGAAGAAAGTTGAGATATTATCTTAAAGAAACTTAAAGTATGGGTCAACCAAGTTTATTATTTGTTTCATTTATTCATGAGAGCTCAACATTAATATTTCAGCTGGCTAATCATTTTACATGTGATACCCATTTCCCTGAAAGTTCTTGAGTTTGGCGAGATCTTAGGTTATAAGGCAATCAGTTCCCTTTGTGAGGGTATTGGAAAGACCATTAGAGCAAGAGTCAGCAGCCTCATTTTAAAAGTGGTGTAGAGGCCGGGCTTGGTGGCTCAGCCTGTAATCCCAGCACTTTGGGAGGCCAAAGCAAGTGAATTCCCTGAACCCGTGGGTTCGAGACCAGCCCGGGCAACTTGGCAAGACCTCATCTCTACAAAAAATAAATTTAAAAACATTAGCCGGGCATGGTAGCATGCACCTGTATTTCCTGCTACTTGGACGGCTGAGACGGAAAGATCACCGGAACCCAGCAGGTCGATGCTGGGAAAGATCACCGGAGCCCAGCAGGTCGATGCTGGGGTGGCCATGAGTGTGTCACTGCACTCCAGCCAGGGTGTTGGGTGACGAAATGAGACTCCAACTCAAAAAAAAAAAAAAAGTGGTGCAGAAGCTAAGCATGGTGGCTCAGATCTGTAACCCCAGCACTTTGAGAGGAAGATGCAAGAGGACTGCCTGAGCCCAGGGGTTCAAGACCAGCCTGGACAACTTGGAGAGACCTCATCTCTAGAAAGAAAAAAAAAAAATTAGCCAGGTGCAGTGGTGCACACCTGTAGTTCTGGCTATCTGGAAGGCTGAGGCGGAAGGATAACCTGGCTCCAGCAAGTTGAGACTGTCTGTGGTGGCCATAGCATGCCACTGCACTCCAGCTTGGGTAACAGAGTGAGACTCTTGACTCAAAAAAATCTAAAAGAAGCCAGGCTCGGTGGCTCAGCCTGTAATCCCGTGCTTTGGGAGTCTGAGGTGAGTGGATTGCCTGAACCCGCGGGTTCGAGACCCTCCTGGGCAACTTGGCGAGACCTCATCTCTACAATAAATTTTTAAAAATCAGCCAGGCATGGTAGTGCGTGCCTGTAATTCCGGCTACTCGGAAGGCTGAGGCGGAAGAATCGCTGGAGCCCAGCAGGTTGAGCCTGCAGTGGCCGGGAGTGGCCACTACACTCCAGTCTGGGCAACAGAGTGAGACTCCAACTCAAAAAAAAAAAAAAAAAATTAAAAGAAGCAGTCTGAGTCTGTCTTAGTTTGGGCTACTATAACAAATTATCATAGGCCATGTAGTTTATAAACTACAGATATTTATTTCTCTGTTTTGGAGACTCTAAAGTCCAAGTTTGATGTTGGCAGATTCCTTGTATAGTAAGAACCTGCATCCTGGTTTACAGATGGCTATCTTTTTACTCCAACTTCACATGGCAGAAAGAGCAAGGGAACTCTCTGTTCTTTTTTATAAGGGCACTAATCCCATGCCAGAGCTCTTAGGACCTGATCACCTCCTAAGGCCCCACTTCCTAAAGAAGCCATCACACTGGGTGGGTTGGGGGGGAGGTTAGGATTTCATAATATGAATTTTGGGGAAATGCGTTTGGTCTATAGCAACTTGCAATAGCCAAAAAGTGGAAACAATCCAAGTGTTCATCAATAGGTTAATAGATAAACAAAATATGACATATATATACAATGGAATAGTAGAAATGAGGTCTAGTCTTGAACACCCGGGCTCAAGAAATCCTCCCAAAGTGCTAGGATGACAGCTCTGAGCCACCGTGCCTGGCTGCAAATGATGGTATAAATCAAGTAATAATAATAGTAATAGTTTGACTGTATTAGTCACTCACTATATACCATGGCATGATTTAAGGGCTTTCCATATCAACTTATTTAATCCTCATAAGACACACTGGAGGCATTTGAAGTAGATACTATTAAAATCTGCATTGTATAGGTGAGGAAACTGAGACAGAGGCGGATTGGGTCACTGAGTTTTAAGAGCAAAGTTGCACAACTGGTTATGTGGAGTGAGGATTTCAACCTAGGAAGTCCGATTCCACAGCCCCAACTTCTAACTTAGACCCATGGTTCTCAGCTAGGGTCACTTTTGTCACACAGGCTGCACTTGGGCATGTCTGGAGATGTTTTTGGATGTCACAATTCAGGCGTGCTACTTAGTGAGTAGAGGCCAGGGACGCTACTAAGGACTTTATGATGCAAAAGACAGCCCTGTGCATTGAAACAAACAATTACCCAGCCCAAAAAGTCACTAGTGTTGAGGTTAAGACACTTTGACCTGGGTAATACCATATAACATTGAAGAGAGCAAAATTGGTTGTCTGAACCTTGAGTAAGTTTATGGGGGAAAAAAAGTAATTGACTCTATCATTCTTTATGTGGGTTTGCATTGTTGTTTGTATGGAGCTGTTAGATTTTTAACATAAGTAGTTTAGATCAAATCTTATACTGGACTGCAATGCAGGAATGTGTTTTTTTGTTGGTTTTGGTTTTGGTTTTGAATCGGAGTCTCACTCTGTCGCCCAGGCTGGAGTGCAGTGACAAGCTCACGGCCACTACAGTCTCAACCTGTTGGGCTCAGGCGATCCTTCCACCCCGACCTTCCAAGTAGCTGGAACTACAGGCACATGCCACCATACTTGGCTAATTTTTTTCATTTATTGTAGATATGAGGTCTTGCCAAGTTGCCCAGGCTGGTCTTGAACACCTGGGCTCAGGCAATCCTCTTGCCTCTGCCTCCCAAGTGCTAGAATTACAGGTGTGATCCACCACACCTGGCAGGAATGTGTTTTCAAGTTAAATGTCTATAACTTCAATATTCAACTTGTTCAAAGTGGGCTGGACCGGAGGACTGATGCACTACAAATCTATACATTACTTCTATACTTCTGAAAGGCAGTTTTAAAACTTGCATGGGGTCTAATTTATTTTACCTACTGGAGTATTGGTATTATTCAAGAATGATGAAACTTTGTGAAAGTGAAAAGTGCTTTGTTAACATCGTTTTCAAATGCTTTTACTTTATTTTGGAATTGGGATACATGTGAAGACTGGTTACATAGGCATGTTGTGTGATGGAGAGGTTTGGGCTTTTATGAGTTCGCCCCTTACCCTGTTGTGCGTGGCACCCGATGAGGGGTTTGTGGCCCTTGTTCCTCCTCCCTCCTTCCCCTGTTTGGCAGTGCCTGTTGCTCCCATGAATGTGCCTGTGTATGCTAGACACAGTGTTTAGCTTCCCCTTAAGAGTGAGAACATGTGGCATTCAGTTTTTTGTTTCTGGGATAATTTGCTTAGAATGATAACCTACAGCTGTATCCATGTTACTGCAAATGCCATGATTTCGTTCGTTTTTATGACTGTGTAGTATTCCATGGTGTATATGGACCACATTTTCTTTATTCAGTCCACTGCTGCTGGGCACCTGAGGTGGTTCCTTGTTTTTGCTATTGTGAATAGTGCTGTGATAAACATACGAGTACAGGCACCTTTTTGGTAGAATGACTTATGCTCGTTTGGGTGGATTCCCAGAAGTGGGATTGCTGAGTTGGACGGTAGCTCTATTTTTAGTTCTTGGAGAAATCTTCAATCTACTTTCCCCAGGGCTTGAACTAGCCTACATTCCCACCAACAGTGTAGAAGCACTCCCTTTTCTCTGCAGCTTTGCCAACACCTGTTGTTTTTCTACTTTTAATAATAGCCTTCCTGACCAGTGTGAGAGAGTATCTCCTTGAAGTTTTGATTTGCATTTCTCTAATGATTAGTGATATTGAGCATTTCTCCATATGTTTGTTAGCTGCTTGTACTCAAATAGTATTGGTCCTGAGAAATTTCATTTAGCCTATGAGATAATCTGATGAATTCTTTTTTTGTTGTTGTTGTTGCTTGTTTTCTAGGGGCCAGAATGTTCACATTCCTCAATACAGGAGTCTATCTGCCTAAAAATACTAGAAACATGCGATCTGTCCCTTGATTTTTTTTTTCTAAGATTTAGAGACTTTTTGTTTGTATGTCTTTTTTTTTTCATGAGCTAAGAAAGATAGATTTATTAAAGAGAAGATACACTGTGAAGGGCACAATGGACAGGACAACAGCAAGGGTGTCTGCTACCTGCTGCTGTTTGTATGTCTTTATGACATCTTTGGCTTCTTCATTTCAACAGATTTTTGTGACAAGTAAAAACATTTAGTTTAATTACATTTTTTTTTTTTTTTTGAGTTGGAATCTCACTCTGTCGCCCAGACTGGAGTGCAGTGGCCTCTCCCAGCCACTGCAGCCTCGACCTGCTGGGCTCCAGCGATCCTTCCGCCTCAGCCTTCCAAGTAGCTGGAACTACAGGCGCGCGCTACCACGCCCAGCTAAGTTTTTATTTATTGTAGAGATGCGGTCTCACCAAGTTGCCCAGGCGGATCTCGAACCCGCGGGTTCAGGCAATCCACTCACCTTGGAATCCCAAAGCGCGGGATTACAGGCTGAGCCACGGAGCCCGGCTACTCTAATCACATTTTAGGTCAGTTGTCTTCCTGCTGATATGACTGAAGGTGACTTGAATTGATCATTAATTTGGCTTCATATCACATTTTAGGATGAGCTGCTTGCAGTAAGATTGTCTCCCTTAAGCTAAAACGATCTATAGCATTTAGACTCTTAT